GGCACGCGGGATCCTCCCGGACTGGGGCACGAACCCGCGTCCCTGCATCGGCAGGCGGACTCTCAACCACTGCGCCACCAGGGAAGCCCTCCCCAAACACTCTTGACCTTCTCATTCAGGTCTCCACTCAAATATATCCTCAGAAAGGCCCTCCTTGACTACCCATGTACTGCAGGCGCTGTGATATTGCTTTATTTTAATTTTCTGTCTCAAGGTTGGGCAGGGACAGAGCCAAGTTCTGTGTGGATCACAGCTGTGTCTCAGTGCTCAGCACAGGTCCTGGGACACCCAGCAGCGAAATCCTTGTTGATTTACTGTGTGTGCGAAGTGTACGCCAGGACAGACAGAGTGAACTGGAGCGACATGGGGCCACATCTTAATGCAGGACAAAGGGTTTCGGAGGGGGAGGCCATGCTGTCCCCATCACCCAGGATGCCTGCTGTAGCACAGAGGCTGAGCTGAGGGAGGGGCAGATGGGAGCAGGGCAACGTACTTGCGGGTGTTCTCGTTCTTGAGCAGCGACTTGGCCTGCTGCTCGCTGATGATGGTCGCCTTCACCTGGGGGGGGCTCATGTGCACGTTCAGCTTCCCGCCCACCAGCAGGCGCACGGTGGCTGCGAACTTGGTCTGGGTCTTCAGGACCTGAGGGGGCTGCTTCTCGATGATGAACGTGCTGCGGGGACACAAGTGACCAGGTGACGCCTCAGGGCACGGCGCTCCGGTCCCTCCCTCCGCGTGCCGAGGCCGCCTTGCGCGGGGCACAGCAGGCGAAGGAAGGGCTTGTGGCACAGCCCCCGGTCCCGGGGGGGCCACTGCGAGTCGGGGGAGCTGGCAGGAGGGGAGGCAGTGAGATGAACTCAACAGCTGAAACGGGGGGAACAAGCCCATACAGTGTCCACGAGAGAAACCAGGCAAGGTGAACAGCAAGAGGCCACAGCAACAGGCGACAGAGGGGGATGGGATGAGGGTGTGAGGCAGAGACAGAAGGGTTCAAGCCAGAGCGCCCTGTCTGTAAAGACCCTGCTGCCCGCGACCCAGGCCAACCGGATGGGGCCTGGGCGAGGCCAAGAGGCAGCAATCACCTGGTCACCAGGGCTGAGATGATGTCTGTGATGGTGGCGTTGACCTCAGCCAGCATCTCCTCCACGGGGCCGGGGATGGGCAGCTGCTGGCAGAGGTGCTCAGCTCTGCGGATCTGCTGCCGGTTCTGCCAGATGATCTCCGCCAACTTCTCACACCTGCACGGGAGCCCCGAGGCCAAAGGGAAGGACAAAGCCTTCACCCTCTTCCTCCAGGCCAGAAGCCAGAAGGCTCCCAGGCTGGGGAGAAGGCCCAGACCCAGCTCCACCCCCAGGAAGGCTCGGCGCCTTAGCCGCCCGGCCTGTCCACTGAGCAGAGCACGGCTGCCCTGCCTTCCAGAAACACAAAGAAACTCACAGGAGGAGCGACCCTGACTTGGGTCCAACCAGCCTGAGCGTCGCTCTGCACACCTGGCCCCACCCCACTCCCTCACCCAGGGACGCCCCTCCCGGGGAAGGTGGCACAGGACGGGGGCACCAAAGTCTGCATCAGGAACCAGACCACTGGTGAAATAAGACCCGTGCCCCGACAGAGGGAGCCGGCTGCTCACGTAAACACAGGAGCAGGACAGCAGCCGGTGGCACCACGCTGAGCCCCTGCCGCCCCCGCCTGGCCCCCCATTACCATTACCAGGATTGTAGCACGTCCAGGCTGCCCTCGGGGGGCCCTCCGTTCCCCGCCAGCTGCTGCCGCCGCTTCCACTGGATCAGCTCGTCATCCAGAATGATGGTCTGCTGCTTCCGCAGCAGCTGCAGGGTCTTCTGGTGCTTCTCGGCCAGCTCCTGCGGGGCGGGCGGGGGCAGCGGCCCTTCTGGGCTCTCAGAACACCCCACAGGGCCTCCCCTCACCCCTTGCCGACCCGCTCTGCCCTGCGTGCCCACACAGCGGGGAAGGCTCTGGCCTCCTGCTCTGCTGGGTCCCGCTCTCCTCCTGGCTCTCTCCCTCCCTCAGGTCCACGCCCGGGAGGGGAGGGACGCAGAGCCCACTCACCACGCGGTACTGCTGCAGCGTCTGGGCCTCGCGCTGCAGCCAGGCCTCCAGGGACACCTGCTTCTGCTGGAGGGCCGTCTCCCGGCTCAGACGCTCCTGGGGGTTCAGCTGGGCCAGCTGGGCAAACTGAGCTGGAGGAGGGCACAGGACACCCACGACCATGACCTCCCCGGGTCCAGCAGGGAGCCCGGCAGAACTGTACTCACCTGTTCTGGAGGCAAAACCCTGGAGGGGACACAGCTGACAAGTGGCCAGTCAGGGTTCCACAGCCATGGTGCCCAAAGATGAGTGGGCTCCGTCCCCTGGCCCCCGACTCTGAGCTCCCCTTGGGGAGTGGGGAGACGGAAGCTCGGGGTACAGCTGGGGAGGAGCCAGCCCATGGCCTCCCTGCCTGCCCAGCCCTCCTCTCCCCACGCGGGGTCCGGCTTAGAGCCACCCTGCCTGGTCTGAAGTGTGTCCTCGCCGTTTAAAAGGTGGGTGAACTTGGGCAAATCACCTCACTCTCCCATGCCTCAGCTTCCCCAGGTGTAAAATGGGAGAATCACGGCACCTGCCTCAGTGGCTGCTGTGACGTTAAATGAGCAAAAATGATACAGAAAATACTCAGGAAGCTGCCTGGCACCATCAGCTCCAGGTGAGAGTCAGTCCTCATGGTCAGTGGGTTACAGGACGGGATTAAAGGCTCATGGAGCAGCTCTCAGCCCCAACCTCACAGGACAAAGCCGCATCAGGAAGGCCCTGCTCCGCGGGGCTGAGCGCAGCAGCCTCTCCTCGGGGAAGTGGGGGGGTGGTGTTTCTCCAGGTGCTGAAGGGGCCTAACATGTTTGTCCAGGTTGGGTCACTGTGAGCTCAGCAGACCAGCCGGAAGAGGGAGAGAGACAGAGTGTCCAGGGCCACTGGGGACATGAAAGCAGCAAGATTCTCTCAAGAGAGGGAGGCAGCTTCTCTCCACACCAGCTGTCAGGCCTCTCATCGATGGCAGGAATAAGGTAACGAGGCCTCACTGACGAGGCCTTTTCAAAAAATCTGTTATATAATACTTAAGACCTAGGCAAGTATTGATAGAAAGGATGATACAAGGAACACCTGTGTATCAAGAAGCCCGCTTAAGAAAGTAAACATTTCCACAGTTAAGCACCTGTACATCCTCCCCTGCCGGCATCCCCATCCCTCCCTCCACAGGCAATCACCATCCTAGATGCTGGCATTCCTACCCCCACCAATAGGCTTTTGGAACATCCCACGGTCCTTACTGGGGCTGAGTCAAGAAGATGAGAGCATCAGTCAGCAGGTCTTGGTCAAGTTCCCGGCAGGCCTCTGAGGGCCATGTCACAATGACCGAGGCCCTGCCCTATGGACGCACAAAAGCAACTAAGGACACACTAACGCAACCCTAGACAGCCAGGAAGGCCCAGAACTAGAAGAGAACTTAGAAATATGGCTCCAACATGACTGCGGGGGACGGAGCAGGTAAGGAACACAGCAGAAGAATCTGGAGAGCCACCTCGGAATCCTGCCCCCCACAGGGAGGTGGTGGGGATCCCAACACCAGGCCCAGCCTCCTTATGCAAGTGACCCACTTAGGTCTCTCCTGGCAAATTGGAGACGCTTCTGGGAAGGGCGCCAGGAGACTTGAGGCAACTGTCTGCTCCACTGGAGGGAGCTGAGACTTCCCTTGCACAGACAGATCAGTAGTCTGTGTTTCTGATGGGTGCACTTGATCAATGAGACTGAACTGACATTGCACGATCGGGACAAACCCAAACCAGAATCGAAACCCAACCTCACAAGTAGGAAACAGAAAACCCCAGAATAGGATCATCAATACTGTCAACCAGTCAACGGCCTTGGGTAGAAATAATAGCCTGAAATGTCCTGCTCCCTAATGTAGCAGGAGGGCCTTCCTTTCTTTCGGGTCAGTCTGGGATGGATTCAGATCTGAAGAAGAGCTGCTAGAATTATCCCCCCAACATTTACTCAACAGCTGCTATGATTCAGGCAACGTGCTAGTCTCAGGGTACAGAAAACACTGACAGGGCAAGGTAGGAGGAAAGCTTAAGTAGTTAAATTAAAATAGAATCTTAAAAAATTTAAACAATTAAAAGGAAGAACAGAGGAACAAATACTGAAAATGGACAAAACAAAATAAATATTAACATGGGGACCTCAATCGCTATTACATTAAATATTAGTGGACTAAACACCTTAATTAAAAGCAAAGATTGTCAGAATAAATAAAAAAGCTGGACTCAACTATATGCTGTCTACATTTCAAATTTTAAAAAGCATGGATAAAAATACGTTTCTATTTAAAAATAGAATAAGAAGGCTGGAGGAGTAATACTAATATCTGATAAAGTAGATTTCAAGGCAAAGAGTGTTACCAGAACTCAAGAAAGATATTCCATAAGTATTAAGGTGTCAATCAATCAAAATGACATAATTCTCAATGTATATGCATCTAATAACAAAGCTTCAAAAATACATAAAAGAAATATTTACATAAATAATTGGAAAATTACACAATACTATAGGAGATTTTGATACCTCTCTTTCAGCATCTGATAGAACAATTAGGCAAAAAAGTCAATAAAGATATATCAGTGATTCTTAAAGTGTGAACCAGGGATCCCTGAAGGGTTCCTAAGACCCTTATAGGAGGTCCACCAAGCCAGAACTATTTTCATAAAGTTATAGGACCTTATTTACCTTTTTTTCTCTTATTCACTTATAAGCATAGAGCAGAGTTTTCTAGAGGTTACAAGATATGTGATGTTACAACAGATTGAAAGCCAGCTCCAGCTATCTCCTATTAAGCCTAACATTAAAGAGATTTGCAAAAATGTAAAGCAATGCCACTCTACTCACTAAACTTGGTGTGGGTTTTTTTAACTTTATTATGTTAACATCATATATTATGTTATATATGTTAACATTATTGAATTTATTATTGCTATCTTAAAATAAAACAACTTCAGAACATACATTCAAGTCCACAAAATACATTCACCAACACAGAGCATATGCTGGGGCATAGAACAAGTCTCAATAAATTTACAAGAAGAGATCATATAGAGTGTGTTCTCTGACAACAGTGGAATTTAACAATGAAATGAAAATGAAATCAATAATGATATGACATCTAGAAAAACACCAAGTATTTGGAAATTAAACAATATACTTCTAAATAGTATATGGTAAGATAATTAATCAGAAGAGAAATTAGAGAATATTTCAAATTGAATAATGAGCATATAGCATATCCAAAATGATGAGATGCAGCTAAAGCACTGATGAGAGGGAAATTGATAGCTCTGAATATATACATTAGAAAAGAAGAAAGGTCTAAAATCAATGACCTATGGTTCTACCTTAAGACACCAAAAATAGAAGAGTGAAGGAAAAGGCAGTTTGATACTTCTTGTTCTCACTAGGATGGGGTGGTACAGCTCTGGGATCAATTTGAAGTGAAGGAAGATGAGCCACATTTCAAGACTCTTAAAAGTGTACCTGGGGTGAATTTCTTCTGAGTTAATTTTTCTTTCCCTACACCCTTATCATGGCAGTCACTAGCAAATTATAGACCTAGGAGACAGGAGAATTTTCCACTGTCACCTCCTCCTCCCATCTTTACCTCCTATTAGGCTCAAGAAGGGGCATTCCTGGAATTCCACCTCTCCCCAGCCTGGTTCAACCAGGGGACTCCCAACCTAAGTCCTCCCTTTGACTGGGGAACACTTTGTCCATATTCATTCATTCATTGATTCATTCATTGAGATATTCACTGAATATTGGTTAAAATATAGTGATTTTATGACATATCTCTAGTTAAGATCCAGTTCTGCAACTTGCAAGAAATCCAGGCCAGGGCTTCTCTGGTGGCGCAGTGGTTAAGAATCCGCCTGCCAATGTGGGGGACACAGGTTCAAGCCCTGGTCCAGGAAGATCCCACATGCCGCAGAGCAACTAAGCCCATGCGCCACAACTACTGAGCCTGCGCTCTAGAGCCCGTGAGCCACAACTACTGAGCCCGTGTGCCACAGCTACTGAAGCCTGTGCACCTAGAGCCCGTGCTCCACAACAAGAGAAGCCACTGCAATGAGAAGCCTGCGCACCACAACGAAGAGTAGCCCCGCTCTCTGCAACTAGAGAAAAGCCCACGCGCAGCAACGAAGACCCAATGCAGCCAAAAATAAATAAATAAAATAAATTTAAAGAAACCCAGGCCAAATTACGTGTTCTCTTTGAACATCAGTTTTAACATCTGCAAAACAGGAATAATACAACTACCTATTTTTTAGGGCTGTTGTAAAGGTTGTAGTGAATAATGCATGCAAAGGTTTTAGCCTGGAGCCTGGCCCATAGCAGGGGCTCCATCACTGGGAACGTTACTCCTCCCAAGCTTTGGATAAGGTTCTGGGGAGACAGACGTGGATCTAGCCCCAACCCTGCAGGAGTTCACAAAGGGGTCTCATTCCCGTCCCCCAGACACACGCTGCCCTCCCACACCAGCCTCACCCTGGATCCTCAGGCTCTCTTGATACTGGATGATGAAGTACTCTTGAGTCTGCTGCAGCTTCTTCAGCTCATTCTCTGTGTCCTGTGTGACCAGTCGCAGCTCCTCAAGTGTCTGGTTGATCTGAAGGTGTTTCTGGGACATGGCATCAACCAGGATCCCAGAAGAAGAACTACCCTGGAGACATATCAGGGGAGAGTGTGGGCAGCAGTAAACTGGGCAGTGAGGATGGAAGAAAACCTCAGGCCCTGGGGAACGCCAATACTACAGACACCAGATGCCAGATCTAGAATAAGAAGGAAGGGTACTTTGAGTCAGAAGGAGAGTCATTTGCCAGAATGGGGGTGGAGGAAGAGAAACAGGTGACCTGGCGGACTATGGCATCTTCATAAAGCATGGAAGAAACTTCTACTGCAGTTCTAACCTCCACCAGAGTATCCCACACAGGGTCCATCTGAGTTCTCTCTGGAGAGACTAGAACTCAACATGTCCCAGGAGTTACCTGGGTTTTCCTACTAATGATGATGACCCCTCATTTCGTAGTCATTCGCTGACCTGGTGCCACGATGCCACCTGTGCTAGGTGCTGGGGACACAGTGGGGGACAAGGCTGTGGGAACACACATCGTCTGTGTCCTCCCTCAAGACCTTGTGACTGAGGGAAGCGGGTGAACCGCTCACAGGTGGCATCCTGGAGACCCCAAGTGAAGTGACAGGGGAGGCATCCACAAGGGCTTTGTGGATCCAGTCATTTAACTAACCTGGTCGGATCTATTCCTTCAACCAAGTCTTTAGGGCCTTTCCAATGACCTGCTCTCAGAATAAAATCCAAACTCCTTCCACACCCTCCACGGCCCTAGCCGATAGCCTCTGCCTACCCTACCCGCAGCGCCACTGCTGCCCAAGCGCACCAGCTACTTTCTGTTCCTGAATACATAAGCGTGTTCCTGCCTCAGGGCCTTTGTATTTGTTGTTCCATCACCCTGGAACATTCTGGCACCAAACCTTCCTGCTGGCACTTCCACTGGCACCTTTTCAGAGTGACCCTCTCTGATGAGCCAATTTAAAATAGGACCTCCCTTACCGAAGGTGTCTTTTTCTTGCATGTTCTTTCTTTCTTTTTTCTTTTTTTTTTTTTTGCGGTACGTGGGCCTCTCACTGTTGTGGCGTCTCCCGCTGCGGAGCACAGGCTCCGGACGCGCAGGCTCAGTGGCCATGGCTCACGGGCCCAGCCGCTCCGCGGCATGTGGGATCTTCCCGGAACCGGGGCACGAACCCATGTCCCCTGCATCGGCAGGCGGACTCTCAACCACTGCGCCACCAGGGAAGCCCCTTTCTTTCTTTTTTTAAATTTATTTATTAATTTGTTTTTATTTTTGGCTGTGTTGGATCTTCGTTGCTGCTCATGGGCTTTCTCTAGTTGAGGCAAGCGGGGGCTACTCTTCCTTGCGGTGCGCGGGCTTCTCATTGTTGTGGCTTCTCTTGTTGCAGAGCACGGGCTCTAGAGCGCAGGCTCAGTAGTTGTGGCACACGGGCTTAGTTGTTCCGCGGCAGGTGGGATCTTCCCGGACCAGGGCTCGAACCCGTGTCCCCTGCATTGGCAGGCGGATTCTTAACCACTGCGCCACCAGGGAAGCCTGCATGTTCTTTCTTGTCTGCCTCCCTGCACTAGGATGTGAACTCCTTAAGGCCTAGGACCTTGTCTGTCTTGTGCACCACAAAATCCCCAAGGCCCAGGACATCAGAGGTGTTGAAGAACAGCTTGATGACTGGGACAACAATTATTTACCCCCAACCATGACCTGCATCGTAGGCATGTATTTCTTAATTGCAGCCGAACTCATTTGTACACTTACAGATGGCTCTGTAATTGCACCAAGTCAAGAGTTGTACCAGTTGACCCTCTGTGACCTGGCTTTTGCCCAGTTGGCTCCCTTCTCCCCAGTTGGCTCCCTTCTCCCCAGTTGGCTCCCTTCTCCCCAGTAGCACTGAACACTTACAGTTCTTCGAATGTCATAAGGTGGCTCGCGCCTTCCTGCCCTCACATATACTGCTGTTATTTTTGACTAGAAAACTCATCCTGCCTCCTTCCTCCCTCTTTCCCCACTGTAGTTCAGGCATCCTTTTCCTCAGGACACCCTCCCCTCCACCAGCCAGCCTGCCCCAGTCTGAGTTGGATCCTTTTTCCAAAGAGGCCCGCTTAGCACTCAGCTGACAACTAAAGAATCTATCATTGCCTGAATTCCCTTTAGGTGGAGACCAGGACTTTATCTGTTTTTCCCGTCCTAGTCCAGTGTCAGATGCACAGCAAGACCTGAATAAATGTTTACTGAATGAACTCTCAAATTCTTGAAATCAGTCTCCACCACAAGTAAATTATAAGTATGACTTCGCTCCAGGCACTAGTCTGTGGTCTTTACCTGTGGGATATCATTTCATGAAATTCATTTTGCTTTATTGCAGATAATATACCATTTGTACCATTGTCCCAGCAATGTCTGATGCCTTTATGATTTCAGAACATGGGGGACGAGTCCCTGCTCTGCCTCGCTAGGCCTCGCTTCTCTGAGCTTGCCGGGTTACTTCTTCTGACATAGACCTCGGCTCTGCTTCCCCTCATAAACCACACCAGAGGATATTTCTTCTTTTGTCTCCAGCCCCGTTTATTGAATGACAAATCTTTCCCCTGGTGATGTGTAATGCCATCACTGACTGACATAGATTGCATCTCCTGACGTGTATGTGTGTTTTTAGGGCTTCCTTTTCTGTTTCATTTGTGTTTGTCTATCCTTTGCCCACATAGTATCACACAATAACCCTAGAGAGTAGATACTGTGACTGTCCTCATTTATAATAGAAAAAGACAGAGGCTCAGAGAGGTTAAGTAACTTGCTTAAGTCACACAGCTAGTAAGTAGTAGAGCCAGGGACTGAAGCCGGGGAGTGGGGGTCGGGTGTCAGTCTACACCTGCATGTGATACTGCCTCTCATACTCGCCCGTGTCTTTTATTTCTTTGGTGCTTTCTCATGCCAGTGTTTATAAAACATATAAAAGCAGGTAGAAGGACTTCCCAAAACCTCTCCCCAAACCCATGGACACTCACACTGTTGGCTTCTCGGACCAGCCTCTGTTCATTGTACAGAATATGGCGGATGCAGCGCACCAATTCCATGGGGCAGTGGTCATACGTGTTCTGAAAGAACCCAACAGCAGCTGTCAGTGGCCATCCTCTGCTCCCACCATGACCATTGCAGAGCCACGCCCACCCCTTCCTCTCCTCCAGCCCCTGCCTCAGCTTCCTCTGGGAAGCCTCAGGAACTGTCACCAGAACCTCTATCTCTCCTTAACTTGATTTCCCCTCGCAGATCTTCGATTTGGTTTGCAGTGCATTAGAAACAGTTTACAAAGCACTTCCAATCTGCCATCTCCTTTGACCTTGTGCATCATAGAAACCCTATGACATAAGCAGAAACTGTTATCCTCATTTCACAGATGAGAAAACTGATGCTCAGAGAGATTAAGTACTTGTCCAGAGGCAAACGACTGAGCAGATGACTCAAGACCCAGGGCATCTAATGCCAAGGTCAAGGTACTTCCACTATAGTCCTGGCCCTGGGTTCCTGTTTTGCTCCCCTCTTCCCACCAAGTTTCTCGTGTTTCCTGCCTCTTCTGGGATGGACTTTTTATTCTTCTGACACCCTGCTGCTGGTATTTAAGAAGGGCTCTCTAAATATTCAAGTGAGTTCCAACAAATGCTCAACTATGATTACCACCCTCACCCCTTTCCTGCTGCCACAAAAACTCCCTCTCTCCCCTATATTCCTTCCCCCCGCATCCTCAGGTGAAGGAGAAGCTACACCTTACATCCAAAACCTTAATTCAAGGCTCCAGGACAACTCTGTTCCTCTTGCACGCGACTTCAGCAGCTCTTTGAAAAGCCTTTAAAAGAGCCGCAAGAGGGATGTGTGGCTGCCTCGTTGCCTCATTTCTAGAACCTGTCAGTATTCCTTTCTCTGACAACAGAATCTTGACTTGCTCTACCCCCATCCCTTCTGCTTGATCTGCCCAGAATGCAGTTTCACCCATCCCCCTTCTCTTGGGGACAAACACGCCCCACCTCTTGCTTTATAATATGCTAAGGGGAATCTGACAGGTCTGATTTAGAAAGAGGGGGTGGGGGAAATCGAAGCACAGAAAGGTTGCCGATAAGCTCAGGGTCATATGGTGAGTCAGTGGCCAAACCAGAAAAAAAACCAGGGGTTCTGGTGCTGGAAAGAGAAGGTGGACACCACACCCTGCAGATGCCCGGAGCTCATACCCACCTGGAGCTGCGTGGCATAATGCCCCAGCTTGATCTTCAGTAAGAACCCATCTTCCCCTACTTGGTGCTCAGCCTTCTTCTGCAGCTCCTGCACCAGGCCCTCCAGGAGCTGGGTGGCCTGGGGTCGGTCCTGGGGATTGTCCAGGTCGATGGCATCCCTTGGGGCAGGGCAGGAGAGAGAAGCCTACTATGGTGCCTCCTTGGGCATGGAGGTCAGGCACCAAGAGGGACGTGGAAATCCAAGGCTCGTGCCCACAAGACTTGTTCCTGGCAGCTCCACAGGCACCAGAGTCTAGAAACATTCCCTCTCCAATCCCAGACTCCCATTTCCCTGTTCCCCTTTCCCAAGGACACCGCCCCTTCTGCACAGAGCGGGACAGACAGGACCAGAATCTCACCAAACCACAAAGAGGAGACCTAAAGGCCAAGGGGCCTGGATGGCACCAGGCAGGGGCACCTACCACGGCTGGCTCTCGATCCACTGTGCTAAGTAATGCCGGACCTCGATGGGGAAGTGCTGCCCATACAGCACCTGCATCTGGCGAAGTGCATCTCCCTGCAGCTGTTGGGCCTGGATCCAGCCCGCCATGTCCGTTCACCTAGCGCGAGCAGAGGGCTGAAGAGGCGCCTCCTTGTTAGAGGCGAGGGCTGGGCCTGCCCCTGGCCCTGCCATGCCCACCCATCCCTGGACCGCGGTCAGGCCCGGCCCCTCCCCTCCCACAGACACGCTTTCCTGTGCGGGAAGAGAGAGGGTGAGGAGGGGAAGGCCGCCCTTCCCTCCAGCGAGGAACCCGCTGAGGCTTGGGGAGGGGCTCCCGAAAGGCAGGTGCCCTCCCCCTCTTCCTCTCCCCTTGCCCCACCGGGGCTTCCCCGGGGTGGGAACAGCTAGAAACTGAAAGAGAAACTTGATGGCGGAGGCCCACGGGCCCTCTGGGGAGGGCTGCAAGAATCCCCCCACCCTGCTTCGAACCCCGAGTCCCCATTTCTGGGAACGGGGGATATTCCAGCCCAACGTTTGGGCAACGCCACCGACGGTTCCCACTGGACGGCTCTGTCACCGTAAGCACGTGGCTGGGGTTAAGGAGAGAGGGCTGGGGAGACAGACACTCCCTCTCTTGGGCTGCGTCCCCCAAGCTGTGCCCCGAGGTCTCCCACTGTCCAGTCCGACAGCGCCCCCTGCCCTCTGCCGGCGAGGATGGCGTCCACCCTCGGCCCCCTCCCTGCATCAGCGTCCCGCGTCCCTCGTCTCTCGTCCGCGCTGCGCGCTGCGCCGAAACTCCCTCTCGGTCCGGGGGACCGTCCCCTGCACCCCTACGGCCGTCGGGCTCCGGGTCCCGCGGTGAGGGGGCCGGGGCAGCAGCCAGGGGCGCCCTCTGGGCGCGCGCCGCCGGGGACGCGCGGCCGGGCCACCCACCTGGTCGCGCAGAGCCGTCCGGCTGCGGGGCTGACGCTCGCTCCCTGCCCGGGCTCCTGGCGGCGGCGGAGGCGGTGGCGGCGGCTGTTACTACAGGAAGGAGCCGAGAGCAGCGATTTCCTCCTCAAAGGTCAGCTGCCTCTGATAGACCATACACAGCGCGCGAGCTCTCGCCAACACCCCTCCCAGCCTCGGTCGCTCTCTCCCTGCCTCCGCCCTTGGTGGCTAGCTCCCCGGCGAGTGCACAGCGGCGGCGGCCGCGGCCGGGCCCCAGGCAGCGAGGCGGGGCTGGCGCCGAGCACAGGGGCTGCCCCGATGGCCGGGTCACCCGGGAGTCCCAGCCAGCCCTCGCCGGCGGCCCCGCGGACCTGCCGCGGACCGTGCTGAGCAAGAGGCGCAGGAGTGGCTGGAGGATGAGGGTGGTAGGGCTGGGAAATCCCGGGCTCCGGAAATCCCAAAGCAGGGCCTCAGTTTTCTCATCTGTAAAAAGGGAGGAGGGAAGGGTTGGACCAGCCTTCCAGCCCTGGCGTTTGTCATCTTTTGAGTCTCTAGATTTAAAAAGTTTAGCGTGTGTTTGCGTGTGTGTTTGTGTGGGTTGGGGACACAGCTTTTGTAATCTCAGAGACAAAGCGTATTGAGGGGAAAGACTGGGGATTCCAGAGAAGGCAGCTCACCCAGGGGGCCCCCACCGCCCCTCCTTCCATCGCTCCCACCACTGTGCACCCCCGCCTGCAGTAGAAAAAAGAAAGAACCTTGGCAGGCAAATGTTTCAACCCCCTGAAACTATGCAGATAAGAAATGGAGTCCAGAGAGGGGAGGGGGCTTGCGTAGGGTCCCACAGTGGGCACAGGGCCTAGTCCACAGCCTATGGTCTATACATGATCCTGCCTCTCCACTCACCCCAGCCCAGTCACATCTGAGGCTGGTCCTGTCTTCAGAAAGTCCAGGGAGGGGTGTCTTGAATCGTCACAAGCTTAGGACTGCCTATATGCCTTGACAGAGCAGGGAACACCTTCCCTGAGCCTTGCCTGGGTCCCAGCCCCCTCCCTGAGAGCCCCCCTACGGGGCCTGTGGAGTTGGGCAAGGCTGCCCTGGAAGCCTTCCATTCCCTTTACCCAGCTTCCCTCTCCTCTGGGGCCACCCCCATGCCTGGCAGCTGGTATTGGCAGCACCAAGGGAGGGGCCAGTCTGGCAGCCCACTCAGGGCCGGCTGGGCCAAGACCTCATGTACTGGGGGCAATCATTCTCCTCTCCCTCTCTCCCTCCCGCCCTAATTCCTTCTTGGACCTGCCCTTTTCTCTCCATTCCTTCCCCCCCTTCATGTGCCCCCCCATCTTCTTACCGCTCACTACTTCCCCACTTTCATTCTTCCACTTCAGAGAAAACCCGAAGTTTAAGGCTGCAGAAGCTGGATTGTCTCCCCTTCCCACCCCCGACACACTTCCATGTGTGGTCACGGTCTCAGTTGGCAGGATCGCAAGGAAAGGAATTGAAAACTGTAAAGGGGTTCAAGGAATTGGGGAAAACTTTGCTCTAGGGAGGAGGAAGCACAATGCCTCTCCCTCTTTCCTTCCTCCACTCTGTGCAACGGATCCAGCAGGGGAGGGTCTGACACACAGCTAGGGGCTCACCTGGAGTGACAGCCAAGTGTCAGAGCTGGAAAAAAAACGTAAAGATGATTTTACAAATGGGGAGACAGAGGCTGGAGAGGGGAAGTGACCCGGTCAGTGTCACAAGGACACAGTGGGTCGGCCCGATGTGGCACCTGTGCCCTCCAGCCTCTCACTGTGAGCACGTGGCTGAGTCAGTCAGTGGGAGCAGATTCCTTGAGTTTCCAAGTCCTCTGAGCCATGTCTGGAAGGCAGAGGACCACCCTTGCCATGCAACCGCATCTGGGCATCTGGAAACGGTGGGATGGGGATGCCAGCTTCAGAGTGGGGGCCCTGCCTCCCCACTTCCAGGCAGTCGCCTCTCCAGCCTCCTCCCCAGGGCCTGCTGGGGCCTGCTGCTCCAGCTGGGAGCCCTGCGCACCAAACATCTGGCTGGATGGGACTGGGTTTGGCTAGGGGGGTGGGTCCTCCTGGGTCCTAAAAAAAAGCTAGCATTGGGGTGCCCGTGAACAAAACTGGAGGGATTGGCCTAAAAGGGTGTGCCCCAGTGCCTTCAGAGCTCTCACATGCCCCCCCTCTTCCCCTTGTGTCCAGTGGCGACAGCTGTTTCCCTGCACCTCTGGATCTCTCCCCATTTGGCCTCTCTGTGAGGCCCTGAATTCGGGTGTCCTTTGTTGCATGTTTCTTCCTCTTGCTTTTTGATTCTCCATTTGATTCTTTCTCTCTAAGTCTCTGTCTGGGTCTCTGTTTGATTCTGCCTGGGTTGCTCTCCATTTCTTTGTGCCTCTGTTCTCCTTTTGAGATGCAGTGGGAGGGGAGGAGCTTTGGAGCTTTCCCAGGATGGGCAAAGGCCAACCAAGAGAGTGGAGGAGGGAAGGGTGTCAGCGTTAGGCTGGGGGCAGAGGTGACTGTGGTTAGGGCTCCGGATAACGCAACTACCCGGAACTGTCAAATTTGGGGTTTCTTTTTGCTTTCAGTCCCCTGGTTTGGTCTCTGCTATTTCCCACCACAAAGCAAAGCACCCTGGTGGTTTTACGGGCCCAGACTACAGAGGAGCAAACTGAGGCATAGAGAATGGGGGGTTCAGGAAGATCAGAAACCTCCTTGTGTCTAGACTGAGCTGGGGTCCCAGGCTGCCGCCCCTAACTGCCTCTCATCCCCAATTCCAAGTCACAGCATTACATGGGGAATGAAGAAGGATTAAAAAAAAATTCTCACAGGAAGACATTCCCCAAAAGAAGACTGGCTGCATTTTAATAGGAATCATAATGCTCCCTAGCCTAGTGTGTAGTTCACACTCATGTACATATCTTGAACTGAGTTATGGCATATTCATGTACAAACGTGGTTGAACTCTTCAACTCAACTGATCTTTGCAACAGCCTTGAAGGTGGGCAGAACCAGAATTTTCCCCTTTGATTAGTCCAGGAAAGTGTCCTGTCCACAGCAGTCTGGCCAGTAAATGCACAGCTGGCAACAGGATCCAAGTTGCCCGGCTCTGTGGGCAGGATCTCCGTACAACCTTTTGTAATTTTCCCTACCCCGAGCGCACACCGTAGTCTTCACTCTAGCCCATGGTTGTTTTGTGGCACCAAGCGTGGCGCCTCCATCGCTACGCTGGTCCCTGCCCCTGCTCTGTTGAGTGAGGCAGTGTGACCTGTGTGTTACACAGAGGTGGGTTTGAGTTATACAGGAAGGGAACAATGACCCCAAGTCCTGTTTCTGGCCCTTGGAGACCAGGTTAGCTGTGTGAAGGAGGCCCTGCTGATGCCCCTGCCTTGGGGAGAACGGATTGAGGTCACGTTGACCTAACCGTCCCTGGGGGTGGGGGGAGATGGTACAGAGATGCCTTTGTCTCCTCTGCTCCAAGTCCCTTATTCAAGGAGAGTTCCTGTTGTGTGGGAGCCAGGGGGGAGGTGGGGGGTGAAGAGCCTTCCCAGGAAAGCTAGAGGTGTTCCAGGAAGTATCTCTGTGCCCCAGCAGAGCGGGGATGGCCAAAGCTGAAGCCCGTGGGCCCCTAAGCATCCTGCTTCACCCCCGCCCTGCCTCTGTGGGGACCTTCCACCTCCTCTCCAGCCCCCACCCTTAAGGCTCCTGGAAGGGGGGACCACAAGCCTATGCTCAGCACATACCGCACCTCCGAGACCAGTGTCCCTGCTTCTCCCGGAATCTCCTCACCCTGGTACCTCCCTATGGAAATGCCGCTCATTCCTGTCCCTGAAGACAGAGTGGTACCTAGGGAGAGTGTACATGCGCCGTGAGGAATTCGGCGTGAATTCGGGTCCCGGGGCAGCCTGTCCACCCTTCCTGCCCCGTCCCCTGTCCTCTACCACTCTTCAGGGAAGTCAACTTACTGTGAAGTCACCAAGGGAACACGAGGCCTTTCAGCCTGAGGCATAGCGACCGTCCTCTGTTTCTGGGAACAGAGTGAAGGGAGGGGTGCGGGACTGACCCAGTGAGTGGGAGGGGGAAAGCTGGCCTTCCTTTGCGCAGCTGCCCTGTCCACCTGCCTTGGGAAAGAAGCTTGCAGGACAGGGAGAGGAGGGGGTGAAATGTCTGGACTGAGCACACGTTCCCTAGTAAGGAAGGCAGAGAGGAGTCCACCTTCCTGGCAGCAGGGGTAGGCCCGGGAGAGAGAAGAGATGGGCCACGAGCACTGAGCTGGGCAGGTGAGGGACCTGGTGACTGGCCTGAGCAGCCCTGGATCAGGTCTGGCTCCCATCCTCATTCCCAATAACTACCAGGCCCCTCTTCCCGCTGAGCTAGTTTCTCCTCCTTCCAGCCCAACAAGAAATCTTTTGTGTCTTAGCCTGCCCAGTATGGACCTCAAGCCCTCTGGGCATTATGTGAGAGAGGGGTTGTGCATCTCCTTCCCCCCCCCCCATCCCCCATCACTCTGACACTTTTCTTTGTTATGACCTGAGGAGGTTCCTTGCTCTCTAGCCCTGTTTCCCGTTGTTCCAGTTTATTGCAGGCACAAACCCACCCACATCTTCCCTGCCTGCTCCCAGCCTCCAGAATCAGCTCCCCAGCCCCAGAAGCCAGTGGGGTATATGAAGTCAAAATGACTGGCCCAATGCCCCATCCCCTCCTTATTGGCTACCGGCCTGGTCTTCATTTGCTGCTGTGATGGACCCCAAACACCAGCCTTCCCTTCGCTCTGTGCTTCAGCCATGCAGTTCCCCCAACGCGCTGACCTCTCTCAACTCCAAGCCTTTGCTGCCTCTGTTGCCTCTGCCTGGAAGGCCATTCCTCCCTTAGCCATCTGGTAACATCCTCCTCGTCTTTCATAGGGTCAGTGTGGCAGAGGGGAAAACGCAGAGGTTTTGGCCATCAGACACTCAACAGATAGGAAGGGCCTCAGAATGGAGGTTTGTCACAGCCAGTGGATCAGAGGGGGCTCTGTCGGTGCCAGGGCTTGATTCTGCCAGACTGTGGGCAGCAAAAAGAGCTGAGTTAGATCTCGTTCCAAATCCCAGCTTTGCCAACTTAGCAGCTGTGTGACCTGAAACTACTT